CTTGAGAGAGTTTCCTCCATCAGTTCCTGGTAGGCAGCTCGTATTATTTCTGGTTACAAAACATTATGTATTAATTGAAATGGTTAATTATAGCTCCGCATGCCCTCCCCCCTCCTCCAGGGCTGCCTAAATCTATCACATTGTCATTGGCTGCCTAAACCCTCGCTTAATGTGATCTATATGGATTGCAGCTTTTAACATAGGGTCTAGAATTACAAATTAGCTAATTTTAATCAAAACATGTGAAATGTTATCCTGGCTGGATATAAAGGCTGACTGTGCTGGATCCTCTGGGTTTGTTTTGTTTATTTTGGCTGCAGGCGCTCTCAGTGGTTTGGGAGATAGTTGTTCTTCATAGCAGATGTTTGTCTGAACTAGTGGGGATGAAACAAAAACAACATTGTAAGGGGGGAAAATGACACCGATTTTCAAAGGGTGCTTTAGTATTTTTAAAAAAGGGAAACTTTAGAGCAGTTTGTGGACTTGCTGGTATACTCTCACCGTGTTACACCATGTATACTCATATATACAGGAGCCAATGGGTTAAGTACCTATGGCAAGAGAAAGCATTGGAAAAAAATGGAGGCCATATGTTTGTTACATTTTGTCGGAGTTCTCTATACTGATAACATACACTGAGTGGCCAGATTATTATGACCACCTGACGTTTGTAGGCAAATTAGCTATAATTTTGCGCTGAAGTTGCTAGAGGGCCAGACCATCATAAATAGGGAAGCAGGTTGTTTACCACGACAGTAGAAGTGATTTGTTTCTGAAGATATGGGTAAACAACGCGATTTAACAGCCTTTGAACGTGAGATGATTGTTGGCGCTCGGAGCCATGGAGCGAGTATCAGCAAAACAGCAGAATTCGTTAAATGTTCAAGAGCAGCTGTTGTTAAAGTGTTTAAAGACTGGACTGTCAGCTGAAAATCTGGGTCTGAACGTGCGAATTGTGGCCGTCAGCGACTAGTCAATGTTAGGGCAGAACGGAGAGTGGCAAGACTGGTACAAGACAACAGAAGGGCAACAGTGCAGTGTCAGATTCCTCGCATCACCTTTCAACATCTCGTGGTGTCACGAGGCGGCCCAACAAAGTCATCTCGTGAAGTCATCTCGTGGCCCAACGAAGTACTGATGAGGTGGTCATAATAATCTGGCCGCTCAGTTTATACTGTATATGTGTGTAAATCGGCACCGTGGCTTAGAGGTTTGTACTTCTGCCTTGCAGCACTGGGGTCCTCAGTTTGAATCCCAACCAGGACACTACCTGCATGCAGTTTGCATGTTCTCCTTGAGCACTGGCATCCTCGGTTTGAATTCCAACTAAGACACTACCTGTGTGAAGCTTGTATGTTCTCCTTGAGCACTGGAGTCCTTGGTTTGAATCCCAACCAGGACTCTCTCAGCATAGAGATTTCATGTTCTCCCTGAGCACTGGGGTCCTCAGACTGAATCCAAGCAGGACACTACCTGCATGGAGTTTGCATGCTCTCCCTGGTCATTGCTTTGAATCCCTACCAGGACACTATCTGCCTGGAGTTTTCATGTTCTCCCTGGTCCATTTTTTAAATCCCAACCAGGACACTATCTGCATGGAGTTTGCATGTTCTTGGTCCTTGGTTTGAATCCCTACCAGGACATTATCTGCATAGAGTTTGCATGTTCTCCTTGGTCCTTGGTTTTAATCCCTACCAGGACACTATGTGCATAGAGTTTTCATGTTCTCCCTGGTCCTTAGTTTGAATCCCTACCAGGACACTATCTGCATGGAGTTTCCATGTTCTCCCTGGTCCTTGGTTTGAATCCCTACCAGGACACTATCTGCATAGAGTTTGCATGTTCTCCCTGGTCCTTTTTTAAAATCCCAACCAGGACACTATCTGCATGGAGTTTCTATGTTCTCCCTGGTCCTTGGTTTGAATCCCTACCAGGACACTATCTGCATGGAGTTAGCATTTTCTCCCTGTGCTTGTGTGGGTTTCCTCCGACATTCCAAAGACATGCTGGTAGGTTAATTGGCTCCTGCAGTGGCGCAACAATCGCCATAGCGACCCAGGCGGTCGCTATGGGGCCCGGGGGGCCTGGCCAGGGCCGCCTGGGTTGCTATGGCATGTGGGGGTGCTGGCTTTCACAGACACAGCTCAGCAGCGACCACGGTGCATTCCCCTCATAGCTGCTGCGGAGCTGTGTCAGTGACAGCCAGCTGCTGCGGCAGATGAGGGCGGTGTTCTGAATGAATCTTACATAACTGGCCAGTGACCTAAGAGCAGGTGGGACCAGTGATGTAAGGCCTGGTTCACACCTGGGCGTTTTGTAGCGCGTTCAAATGCTCTGAAAACGCTCAAACACCGAAATCCCATTGTTTCCTATGGGTATGGTTCACACCTGGGCGTATTTCAGCCCGTCTGAACACGCTACAAAACGGCCTACGCCCAAAGAAGTACATGTACGTATCGCGGTAAAAACGTGCGACAAACACGCATATTCAATACGCCTAGGTGTGAACCCAGCCTAAGAGAAGGCGGGGCCCGTCGATAGCAGAGGAGGCGGGGCCCAGGGACGGAACAGGAGTCGGGGCCCGGGGATGGAACAGGAGTCGGGGCCTGGCGACCACAGAGGCGCTGACAGGTAAGAGATCTCAGACCCTGCAGAGCCCACTATAGAGAGTCTATGGTGGGCTCTGCAGGGTCACTCTCCGCTGGGGCTCTGCAAGTGGCATGATTAGCAATCACGGGGCCACATACAAAATTTTGCTATGGGGCTCTGTGATTTCTAGTTACGCCCCTGGGCTCCTGGTATGTGTGCATATGATATAGGGACCTTTGATGGTAATCTTCTTGAAGGCAGGGACTGATGTGCATGAATAGTCTGTAAGAGATAAGAGAGCTGCAAAAATTGACAGTGCTATATAAATACTTGATATTTCTCTCTCTCTCTCTCTCTCTCTCTCTCTCTCTCTCTCTCTCTCAAAAGAGATGCCGAGATGTGCTGTTCCCTTTAGCAACCAATCGAATTGAAGGATGTAAA